ACCTGGTCCCACCTTGCTTTGTCCCTCATTCTGCTGTCCAGCACCCGACTGGCGATGTCTTCCATGACCTCCTCATTCTTAAGGATTTGTTGACATCTTGCCTCGATTAACTCTTCAGTGTTATTTGTGGATCATTATCTAACCTATTCCAGGTAGGTACCAAGGCTTCCACAGGAAAGTCGATCTCTCTTCCGTACCAAAGTTTTGCCGGGATACATCCTGTTGTCCTTTTAGGAGTCATATTCTCTGCAAAAACAGCCTGCTTAAGATATGTAGGCCAGTTCCCCAGATGGTCTGCTGCGAGTTTTGCAATCGTGTTCTTCAAGGTTCGGTGCCCCCTTTCCACCGGCGCATTGGCCTCAGGGTGATACGGCTCGATGAGTGTGATCGGTACGCAGAGTCTCTTAAGCATCCCCAATACTTCTTGGTTCACAAATTTCGTCCCATCGTCTGGTGTAAACCTCCTGACGAACGGGTGCCTTAAGTAGAAGTCTTCTATCCAGTCCGCCACACTCCTCCCTGTCTTTTTCTTGGGGGCGACTGCCTCCACGAACCCACTCAAGTTGTCTCGCGCATCTAGGATATACCTGTATCCATCCGTTGATACAGGCATGACCGCAAGGTCGAGGTGGACCAGATGTCCCGGCCCTAGCACCCGCGTTGGTCTAAGCGGCTCGAAGATTCGTACCGAGCTTCGTTCTTGGCAAATAAGGCAAGTCTGACAGTATATGGCGACCATGCCTGCCATGCCTGGCCAATAATAGAGCGGCGTTATCTTTGCAAGTGTTCCTTTGGAAGATCGATGTCCTCCTGCTAACCCGTCGTGCATTGCCTGGATAACGTCTACTTGCCTAGACCTTCCGCACACAACCCTCCTGGGCATAGCACCTTCCTCCCTCCGGAACAAATGCCCGCCCCTTAGGACGTACCTTTCGACTTCTTCTCTTGCCTTAATACTGACTTCCGTAGGTTGTTTGTTTCCTACCAACAACAAGCCGATCTCCCGAAAGAGCCCTTCGTATGATTGGACATAGAAAAAATCCTCTCCTTCCTTGCCCCCATCCTTTCCTTCCTGCATCTGATTTACCACCCATTGCAACTCTTTCCTTTTCCAAGATTCCATTAAGCTCATCACTGCTTCCTGGCCCCCTTCGACCGCCACTGCTATCAGCTCCTCCTTCGGTCCTACTATCGCTCCCCATGAGTCCTTTTCTTCTCTGCGTCCTCGAGTGGTAACTGGACCTTCCCTAAGTTCAGCTACTACGGCAGGTGCCCCCTTCTGCAAAGTCTGGATCAATAGTTCTCCCGATGTGCATCCCTTGCTCATCATTTCGTTATCCACCGCAAGAGTTCCTCCTTCGTATTCGAGGAAGGCGTCTATGGGCTCTACATCCTCCATCCCTTCGGGAGTGATGCAAACCCGACTCAGCCCATCTGCCTTGTTGCGGATTCCAGCAATCCGTTCGATCTTGTAATCGAACTGCCAGATGAATCCTACCCATCTCCCTACCGTCGGATCTATAGGCCTGTAATTCTTTAGGGACCCTGCGACATTCGTCGGATCGATCCTTAAGATGAACCGCCTCCCAAATAGGTAGGCCTGGAAGGTCTTAAGGCAATGCAGGATGGCTAGGACTTCCTTCTTAAATTGCGAGTACCGCTGTTCTGCGGAGTTCAGGGTTCTACTTTGGAACCTAATCGGCCTCTCTTTTCCTCCCTCATCCCTTTGAATCAACACACCCCCTACGGCCAAAGGTCCTCCATCCGTCTCTAGGATGAAGGGTCGTCCCACTTCGTCATTAAAACAAGGCGCGGACAGGGCGATTGTCTCAGATGT